GTCTGACAAGCTATTGCCCACAAACTGCATGGAAGTTCCCGGAATGCCTGCAATAGTGCTGAACTGCTCCTTGCTCTTTGTGCAGGACAAAAGAGAGTTTCCCAAAATGAGAATTAACTCCTCGCTGCTCTGGGTGCAACTGCCTTCCTCACTGTGCGTGCACATCCCTGTTTTCAGGGTAGGAAATAATGCCCAAAGACTCAGCAAAATAGTGCTATTTGGTATCCTGAGTTTCTGTAGTGAAATGATTTTATAAATAAATAATTGTCTGGTTTTCAGTGGTATGCCTTCCCTGGAGTCATTGGAGTTATCCTGGCAGAGAAGTTGGCCTCCCAGGAGCAGGATGAACCTCTAGCTAGCCGCGTTAGCTAGCTGCTGAAGAGGCAAGGAAGTAATCATCTTACACAATGTTTTGTCTACTGAGGGGTCTCTTACACCTTCTTGTGCAACAGCCTCAAGTAAGGGACCCTCAAGTCTTGTCCTGAATGACAATTTCTATACTCCTAGGAGTGTTGGACTGTTGCTAGAGCTGTGGATGTTTGCTTGTATGTGCAATACGTACTGGGACTTATTGAGATTTGCTTTGGAGTGTGGAGATTGGATGCATCTGTAACACTGTTTCTCACACACCTCGGTATCAGGAGAAGACTGTGTTAGTTCCTGAAATCTCACACCCCAGAAAATGTACCTGCTGCTTCGTGACACTTCACAGCAACCTGAGCCCCCTTGCAGAGCAGGCTGTATGTGTCAAGAGCAATTCCCTGCTGAATCAGAGATGGTAGAGAATATTTTCCAGGCTGCATCCCGTGTTGTTTTATGGGAAATTTGAGAGTGTTCTGCAAGAAGGAGGTGATGAGGTGAGTTCTGTAAGCTTGGTTGCACTAGGAGGTACCCCACTGTGGGACCAGTCTTTGGCTGTCATGCATCATGAGTCACACCTGTGTGCGGTGTTTAGGGGCAGCTCTGGCAGTCACACCACAGAGAGCATCTGAAGCAGAGTTACATGGAGCAGTCACGACTTTTTCTTGCAGAGACTTCTGAGCTGTAATACGCAAGTGTTGGTCGAGAAGCCAAACACCTCCCCCTGCTTCTATGTACAGCTGGGGTTGGGGGTTGCTGCTGCTTAGTGAGCAAAGAAAACTGGCAGTCCCTGGTCTGCAGCATAAACCAGAGCCGTGCTGTAATCGGATTGATTGGGTTTTGATAGTGCAGGCACATTTGACACCTGTAAAGTGCATGAGAAAGGATAGTGGTGGCCTTCTGGCATTCAGGGTACCTTGCAGCACAGAGTGCCTGGGTGTGCACAGGTGTCTGTAACCAAGGACTGGTGGGAACTGCTGGGGGACCTCTCAGCCAGAGCATTGTAACCCACCTGAAGGAGCAGCTGCTTGACAAGCTCGCCGTCTGCATCAGTGCTATTGCCACTACTCTCAGGAGACCCTCTTTGGAGGTCTGGTGAGCACAGTGCAAAACATACAACAGAGCTAGTGTGAACCTAGCAGCTGGCATTCCAGCTGGTGCTCAATGCCCACAGTGTATAAGCATGGGAAGGATTTACATCCTTGTCGAAGACCACGACTGACCCATGGTTGTCTTCTGCTGTGTGGACGTGGACCTGCTCTTTCGCCCAGCTCTGCTTGGGCATATGTGCCTGATCTCCCTGTGTGAGTCTGTGCTGGATTGTTACGCACAGGCTGGTGGCAATGCTTTTCTCATGGAGGCAGTGTGGATAACTGCCCCTATCTTTGGGCAGCCTGGTGTAGTGGAGGGTTTTCCTGCCCATGGCAGGGGGATTGGAACTAGGTGATCTTTGAGGTCCCTTCCAACCCTAACCATTCTATGATTCTATGATCTTCCTAGAGTGCAACAGCTTAGGCATGATCAGGCAATTGTCAACATGCAAACATGGCTGGCAAATTTTTGTGTTGTGTAAAAAGCAACCTGCATAGCCACGTTCAGAGTAGCACGTTGAGCTCCTGTTACAAAACCATAATTGCATTTCTGTTGTAGATGTAGGCTTGGCAGAATTGGGGCAGGAATTATTCCATCGATTACCTGATGGGACCTGTTCAGCAAGGCTGTTCCCACACTCCCTCCAACCCAAGGACCGAACCTGTTCTTGTACAAAATAGATTTTTGTGCATGTAGTTATTGTTTCTTAATGTGTTTCTGTCCCAGTGTGGGTCCCAGTTACACAGCTTGGAGCTCACCACGCTGGAGTGCAGCCACATGGCTGCAGTGGTGAGCCTCACTTTTCATATGCAGTAAGATTTAGACTGTGTACACAATCAGGAGTTTAATACAAAACAGCAACAAAACAATTCCTGCCAGCTCGTGCCATAGGTGCGGTGGGAGCTGTTGCGTGGTAAGATGGAAGTGACTTGTGATTTTATCATTGTGTTAGTTAAGCTTTGTTAAAAGCAGCTTTATTGGTCGTAGTAGCAAGGATGGGGCCAGCCTCTGGAAGTCTGAATCCCACTGCGGCTGAATCAGTGGGATGTTTGGGAATGTCGCTAGTGTAGAAGAGATCTCAGTGTCTAGATGCATATGTGTCAGGAATGTGGGCTGAGGCACAGATTGTGTTCCTCACCTCAGAACTTGTACTGGCAGGACAAACACCAGCCTGAGCAGACGTGGCTGTGGTGGATGAGGGCCTGTGCTCAGTACAGGGCCAAATTTATCGTCAGATTTTAGTCTCCAGGCTTCTCCTCAGATGAGAATTACTTTTTAAACAAACCCTGCGTGATCCAGCTGTGTCTATGTTTCACCAGAGCTTGTATTACACATGATGAGGAGGAAAGAAAAGCAAACTGCAGAGGTGGAATGAGTCTACATAGGGAGTGCACAACAAATACGAAAACAGACAGAGGAGACACGTAATGGCCTCACTTTTGGGCTACTGAGCCGTTGGGTTTTGTTAGCATCACCCTCGTCCCGAAGGCACCCTTTCCCGCCACAGTGCGAGTGGCAGTGCCACCGCCGAAGGAGGTGACGTGGGTAATCGCTGGGGTGTGGGGAGAGAAGTGCTTCCTCTTCCAAACAAGCATGACTTTGTGCTCTCCGATGCCTTCTCAAGTTCCCCTGGGCCCAGGGTGAGATGGCAGCAGTGTAACCACGGCAGTGTTTGTCTCCGGGATAGTCACTGGTTTAGTGACTCATCCCGCAGAATGCGATCACGTGTGCGGCCTCCCTGCTTCCCTTTGCCCTATTTCATCCAATCTTTTGATGTAGTTATATAACCAGGAGTCAAGAGGGGTGGGGGGAAGGAAACAGTGCTGAAGAACTGCAGGTAATGTGACGAAAATGTCTCTGTAGCTCAAATAGCAGAGCTGTTGTCTTGGAAGCCTGGGAAACTGGGTTTATTCTCAGCACAGTTCTCTGTCTGAAAGTGAATGTGATGCGTGATGTCTGAGCTTGTAAGTTTAAGAAGGCATGGTGGGAAGACAGGGCTCCAAGACCTTGACGGTGGTAGGAGACCTACCGTGATTGTAGCAGTGAACTCCTTTGCCTTTATCTTCACATGCCACGTAACTCTT